CGGGGTGAGGGCTGAGCCCGTCCCTTCGCGGCACCCCGACGCTGCTGCCCCAGGCAGTCCCAGGCACAGCACGTCCCCGTGCCACCGGGGAGACGGGGCCTTCCAAGCGCTGAGCTGTGCCAGGGCTAATCTCCACTGCCTCACTGGAGTCTGCAGCGATAAAATGATCCGTTTGGGATGAACGACAGTTTTAAACACTTCTGAATGGGGACAGAGTCCAAGACCTGACTGTAAAATCTGGTTTTGAAAGGGCTTAAAATAAATCCCACACTGCCCTAGTCTTGCTATTTAAAGGGGATTATCTAAGAGGTTTAGGAGCACGAAGAGGAACAGCAAGACAACTTGTGCCCCGAAATCCCCTGACAGACCTTAGGAAATCCCACTGCACTTCACCTGCCACCTGGCCAGGACTCACTGGACACCCTCCAGCTCTCAGGGAGTGTTGCACCACTTGCCCAGGGAAGTCAAAGGCTCCTGCCAGATGTGTGGGGTTTGTTCCCAGCCCCACAGCAGCATGTACCCAATCTCCAGAGATAGTCCCCTCCTCACTGGGGACTGTGCTGCAGCCATGGCTGGGGTGGGTATTGGTGCCATCATCCCACAGCTGCCTCCATCGCCCCGCAGAGCTGAGCCCTTGCACCCCCACGAGATGGAAATCCAGCTGTGCTCAGCGAGACCACCCTGCTGTGGGGAAAAAGCCACCCTGCGCCACTCAGACAGTGAAGATTTTTTAATAAATACCTTTTTTTGAACAGAAATATACCAAGTTTTACAGAATACAAACCACAGGGATAATGACTGAGCATCGAAGAGAGAGGATGCTGAGCACCCTTCTGTCTCCCTGGTGTTTTCCAGGCTCTGGCCCTGACGCTGTCAGGTCTTCCCATAACCCCAGTTTGCTAAGGCTGAAAGGCAGAGGAAGGGCCTAGGAGGGCACAGACAAGGTGCCAGCAGCTAGAAACCCCACACGTCCTGCCCCAGGAACGGCCATGCTGGGCAAGTCTCAGCCCTGGGCAGAGGGCACCTGCTGCGAGAGCACTGCTGGGACCAAGCAGGGTGCAGGCAGCCGTCGGACATACAATAGCCTTTCGGGGCTGGTGGAGAGACTGGTGCTGGGGTGAACGCTGAGGGGTGGCATTGATGGGAGTTTCTGGGCTAATCCTGGGGGGCTGGTAAGCACAACCCCCTTTTTAACCCACCAGACATGACTGGGAAAGGACAGCCCTGTTATTTGGACCCCAAAAGCAGCTGCCCAGGAAACGGGGACAGTCTGGTCCCACAGCAAAGCACCTGGCTGTGCCCTGCCCTGGCACCACAACCACCCACCCACTCAGGGTTTGGCCCTACTCCCAGCCTACTGGCATCACTGGGTCATGGAAGGATCAGTCGGCTCCCTGCAGCCACGTCTGCCAGCAGCCCTTCCATAGCATGACCGTGGCCCCCAAGCACTCTGCCCACCAGAGAGGCCTGGAGGAGAGTTGGGTCTCACATTCCCCTTTACCTGCTCTGGAGAATGAAGAGCCCCAAAGCAAGGGGAGAGGCAGGACAGAGAGGTTTGGGGTAGGGAGAGGAGAGGTCTGGCCCATCCACAGGCTCACTGTGTTGGCATCCCACCTCTGGAACAGTCACCAGATGGGCCACACTGCAGGAAAGGGGAGCATCCCCACTGCCTAAAGCCATGGGGCCAACTTTGGCTAGAAGTCAGAGATGACCCCATCAGGCAGCTCTGCTGCAGCCAGACCTCCAGCTTCCCAGCACCCCACAGGGGGAAAGTGGAGAGCATTAGGAAAAGGATTTGCTACTCCAAAGTCACTTACCTCACACACAAGACCACCATAAGCCTTTGCCCCCTTCCAGAGGGATCTGAGAGATCAGAGCACCTCCCCGACTGCTCCTTCCTGATCTCTGGACAGCAAATAGCGCTAGAGGCACTGTGGGATGATGGGCTCCCCACTCCCATCTGGCAGCAAAGCCACGCCAGGCAGCTGCTTTCTCCCCAGACACAAAGCACGAACACCAACTGTGGGAATGGTCAGAAATTCACTGCACCCCTCCTGCACTCCCTACTCCTAATCAGAGCTCCGGGCAGTAAAACAAGGCCCAGTGAGGACATCAGGTAAGGCTGAGCAGTACCCCAGGGAGGCAGCAAACCTGGGTTAATCCTGGGAAATGTTACATCTATTTGAGGGTGAAGTGAGGAAATCAAATGCACCATGGGGAGATGCCCCGCACTGAGCCAGGAACAAGCTACTGCTCTGCTCTGGCTGCTACAGCACTTACGTGAGCGGGGAGTGAGGGGCAGGAGATGCTGGCCGGCTCCAGAGCCACCCCTGCAGCCCAGCCTCGCCCCACCTGGGGACAGCTATTTTTGGTTAGGAGGGTAAGGCTACTGTGTGATGGCACCAGCTTGTACAGGTGAGACAGGGTGCTGAGTGGCACCTGGAGGGGGTTCTGGGCACAGCAAAGGGAGGGTGTGTGAGCATGTGAAGAGGCAGGAGGGAGGCAGACCCGCTATTTGCCCCCGGCAGTGGCCGTGGCCATGATCTCTTCGTACTTGGGCGGCGGGTCGCTGTAGGAGACGCTGGTCTCTTCACCACTGCTGCTCTCGGGGTGGCCCGTCACCTCCTCATAGGAAGGCGGAGGGGTGGCACTGGACAGTCTGGAGAGGACGGAGACCGAATGCTCTGGCGGGTGGAGAGTGTCATCTTGCGGGGGGCTGCCCCCAGCTCTGCCATCGCCAGCCACACGGTTACTCACTTCTCGCTGGGACTGGGTGTCCCCTTGGCTTTGCGACCGTTCCTGGTACACCATGACCCTGGGGAGGCTGCGTCCTGTCCGGCTGGCCAGGTAACGGTTCTGGGCGTAGGAAGGACGGTGGCGGGTGGCTTTTTGAAGCTGGCACCTCCAGATGATGAAGAGGGCGATGACTATCAGAAGAGCCACTCCCAAGAGGGGCACCACCACATACATGGCATCCGAGCGCTCCGTGCTGTGCCCGGGGTCCTTGACAGAGTAGACAGAAGTGGTGTAGCCCTTCCAAAACTCCATCTGTGGCAGGAACAGAGAACCATCATCACGTGGTGCAGCTGGGACACGCACCCCCTGGTTATCAGCAACAATCATTGCCCTCCCCAGGCCCACAAAAGGGGCAGTTTTTCAGCCATTCCTCACCATGGCTGCCAGCATATGAGGCGCTGTGGGAACCAACACAAAACATCGTGGCAACATCCCTCAACAGCAGCCAACAGCCCTCACACCAAGCAGGGAGAAATTTGGCTAACACAAAGCCCAGCCTGGAGAGTTAGGGACAGCAGGACAAATTTCCCACACGTGCCCTGGGATTGCCAGCTCAACCTGCAGCTGTGGGCAGGGTGTCCTGGAAATACCAAGGTGAAAACACTGCCTGGGAAGGGAAAGTCATGCTGGAAAGCAAGGCTATAGCATGCTGCCTGCAGACAGAAGACAAAGGGAACAGAAGAAGCTCTTCCCCCTGTGCTTTCCTTCTCTGACTTCAGCTTGCAAAGGCATAAGCCACCACACGGCAGAATAAACGCACCGTCTTCTCCTTGTTCTCAAACACCTCCTTGACCTCCTCATAGCTGCAGACCTCCTCAATGCACTCTCTCTCAATGGTGCCCTGCCAGATCTCCTCCAAGAAGCCGTTGGCTCGGCGAAAGCGCTTCAGGATGCCCCCAAGAACACTGCAACACAAAAGGCAGAGATGTACTGAGCAGGGACAAGCCCACACTTGGCCTCTGCCCAGACAGGCTTTCCCACAGGATTTTGGTGATACAGGCATCCCAAACACCAAAATCCCAGGGCAACAATTCAGGTAGCACAGCAGAGTGCCCACTGAGGGAGAACACACCCAGAGGGGTACAGGGCTCTTAGGGGTCTGCCCAGAGACGCACAGCACCAGGAGAATCCTTCCAGTGGGGCAGAGGCAATAGATGCAGGGCTGGAAGCAGCAGCTGCAGACCACAAAGGGCAGCTGAAGACAGAAAGCTCCAAAAGGACTTGTTTTCTACCTCCTGCCCTTGATGGGGTTTCACTTTGCTGCAAGGCAAGGGAGATCCCACTGAGCAAGCAAGATCCCACAGGGGTGGGACACAGAGCCAGGCCTCTCTGCCAAGACACAGGGCCAGCACTGAGATAGACTCCCAATACCTAGTGCACTGCACGTCATTCTACAGTCCCACCCTGTGCATCACTCCAGAGCCTCCTCTCTTGCCTCACACCTCCACAGCCCCCAGGAGGGGAGACAGCCTGCTGGAATGTGCTATCCCTGCTACCAGCTGCTATGGGGCTATGCAAACTCAGGTGGCTTCAGGGACTCTGTTCAGGTACCAGAGAAACCACTGTGTCTTCTCCCAGGCTCAGCAAAGGCAAACATCACCAACACAAGGGGACAGCACAGGGGGTCATGGCCCAGATACCAAAAGGGGCTTGAGCAACCCCTCCCCACACAGCATCACATTCTCATCCCTGCTGTGCAAAGGTCTCACAAACCTTCCTCTGCTCCAAAAACCTGGAAGACTCTGTGTTGCCCACATCAGATCTTCCCACAGAGCATGCAGTCAAGAAGACAGACTGAGCAGGAACAGCACAGCACCCTCCTGTCTGCAAGAGACACAGCCCTCTCAAAGCCTCTTTCCCCATATTCTGCAGGAGCAAGACCTCCATGGGATGCAGGGAGCAAGTACCTACTAGGACTTTTACCAGCACAGGAGAGGCAAACCAGCTGTTGACCAGAAAGGAGAAAATCCACACAAACCACAATCTTTCTAGCATCCAAACATCCCATGCACACATTTCATGGGAGTGTTTCCTGAATGCAGCTCAACACACTCAACTGTAGGCTACCACCATCTCTTCCCACCCAGCCACATAATCACACTGCTTCCCTTGAGGAAGATGAATCGGTTCAGCTGGCTGATCTGCAAAATCCTATTTGCCTCCCCCACCCCCAGTGTTAGTCTTGCATTGGATCAACCAGATGAACCAATTCACGCTGCAGCAGTGTAACAGATGCAGGACAAGGCTGGAGCCTTCCAGCAGACCAGCTTCACTGTAACACAGTGAAAAAACGCTCCTTCAGCAAGGAGCCTGGTGAAGATCAAACATATGTCAGTGAAAAGCTATCAGCTTCTTTCACTAGGAGCCTTTCACTAGAGAGACCAGCAGGTTTCCTTCTGCTTTGCCTTCCATGTATCCTGCTGCTAAAACAATACAGCAATATTTGTGAGAGTAGTGGTAAATACCGAGGCAGGGGCATGCCTGGAGGCACTATGCTCTGTGTGCTTGGCAGCTGCAAGTCCCTGCCAGGATTTATTAGTGGATTGCTTCAGTGGAAGAGTTCGAGAGGGCTGAGGTGGGAATAAAGATCAGTATGAATGATGCAAGTCAGAGACCTTCCCTCAGAATCAACTTTATTATGCAAATTTTTTTTTTCACAAGAACAATCAAACAAGTGTTTTCAAGATCCAGAGAAGGCATCTCACAGGAGGGCAGGGATCAGCTTGCTTTGACTGTCGCAGTTGAGGGTTATCCTGGCTGGAGAGTGAGCAGACTGACAGGTCGACCTTCTCTTGAGCCTTCCCAGAATGAGCTGAAATTTTAGAAAGATGCTATCCATCCTGCAAATGTTCTGTCCTTCGCTGGAGAAGTCTGGCCTCACCTCCTTTGCTTCTGGCCTTGATCAGGCTGCAGTGTGGGACTCCCCACCTCAGTGCCTGAGTCTGAGCTTCCTTCCAACTTCCTCAGCACATCTCGGCACAAAAAGCTTGACTGCAGATCTCACTGTCAGGGTCTTCCAGCTCTGACACTTCACCAGCCACTTGACCCCTTCCCTGGTTTGCTGTGCTGAAGTGGGCACTATCGTGGGAAATAAAAAGAGACACACAGGCAAGGAGGTATCACAAGCAATGTACCCACTGAAAGCAAGCTGTGATGGAGGTGTGCCTCTCCCCACACCCACCTTCCCTCAGGGACCTAGAAATGGCAGAAGAGCAGAAACTAAGTCACTGTTCCCTCCCCTCTTGGGAAAGTGCAAAGAGCTCCCATGTGCCTGGGACCCAATCAGGAAAAACAAGTGGCCTTTGGGAAACAAGGGCCTTGCCAACTCTCATTCCCAGCCTGGATGCCCAACTCACACAAAGAGCAGACAGCTGAGCAGGTACTGTCCCCAGGCCACGACAGAGAGGACTTCCCAAGGCCCAGCAGCCTCAGTACTGACCCCTTGTGCCTCTCCAAGTCTCCCCACACCAGCTAGAGAACTGGTGCTCAGGAAAAATCAGAGCTTTAGGCAGAGGGAGCAGGAGCGAGAGCCGAGTTCACGGCATCCCTGCTAGGTTTGCTGAGGCGGTGCTGGCCCCTGGTGGCAGGTAGGCTTGGCCACACTGCTACCACACAGCTCCGCTGCCCGGCCTGTGGGTACACCTCGGGGCTGCTTCTCTGCAGGACGACGTGCGGCTGTCTGTGAAGGGACACGTCGCTGGAGAGCACGCGGTGGTGAACATGCTGGCCACCACAGCCCTCTCCTGCACGTCAGGGTCACCACCAAGGGAACAACTTGGCGGGGGACACTGCCACCACAGGGGCCACCTCCCACGACCAGTCAGTGCTGTTGAGCCAGCACCTGAGCTCTGGGAGGAAGAAAAAGCAGCAGTGGAGGAAGGCAGGGACTTAGCTGAGTACCCTCCTCATTAACAGAAGATGAAAACTGCCTTTTAAAAACACTGCCTGAAGATCTCTGCTCTCTCCTCCACTTAGCACAGCACAGACAATGAAAGAAGGCATACCTGTCATCCTTCAGGTCCTCCTCCTGCCCAGCATGCCTAGTGCCTCCACTGTCATAGCTGGCTCCAGCAACACCGTGAGCAAAGCCTGAGATCCCAGCCAGATCTCTACATCTCCCCGTGCACAGCGGCCGTCCGCCTGGGGCTCCCACCACAGCACTGCCTGCAGCCCCTCCGCAGGCTGCCCGGGCCAGGGAGGGAGGGTGGAGTCCAGCTCTTCACAGAGCCCACGCCGTGCTCCCCCCTGCCCCTCCCCGGTCTCAGCCCAGCTTTAGCTGCTGGCCCCAGCCAGCCCCATCTGCCAGACACTCCTTCAGACACCAAGACGCAGCGAGCTCCCAGAGAGGTCAATGTGGGCAGCTGCCCATCCTCTGGAAACAGAGCCCCAGTGCCACCAGCCACACTGGTGCAATGCAGCATGGCCCCGGGATGGACAGCTCGTGGGATGCCAAGCCTGGGCCACAAAGAGCACTGTTGTCAGCGCAGACCAGCAACACCTGCAGAGGGGCCAGTCAGTCCAAAGAGCCTGAGAGGCCTGCCTTGCACAGCCAGCATCACACAAATACAGAGATGCTGCAGCATGTGGGGAGTCCCAGAGAGGTCAGCCCTCCAGCACCTTCTCTCGACTCCACCTGGCACAGGGCAGAGAGAAGCACAAGTCAAGGCAGACCTCAGACTGCATTCGGGGATAACAACCAATGGCATCTGCTCCCCACAAAGAGTAACACCCCCAAAAAAGGCACAGACACTTCTTCCTTGAGAGGTGGCTGCCAAATATTGACCTTCTCTCCTCCAGCACCACCACCACCTCTCCATCTCGACTGGGAAACACTTACTTGCCATGCTGCCTCACTTGGCTACGAGGGAGTCCTGCCTACCTGCAGGGAAGAAAACAGGACAGTCACTAACAGCTTAAATGTCACCCCTTGAAGCCCAAGACCTCCATTGCCCAGGGTTAGATTCATGCAGAACGCAGGGTGCTGTCTGGTGGACCCACAACAGTTCCCAGCCAAGCAGTGCCTCTTCAGAGAGCCAAGGGCTCATGCTGCTTCCCCACTCACTGCATGGCTCGAGGGATGGAGCAGCTCAGGGCACCCTCAGCTCTCAGAGAGCTCAGAGACAGGTCTCTGCCGTCCTTGTGCTGCACCAGCCCAGGGGGGCCAGGGCCCTGCCCAGGAAGCCCAGAGGGCTGGAGACAAGCAAAATAGGAAGGGAAGAACAGCATGAAGAAGCCCCATATCTCAGCAGCTGAGATGAGCTGCATGTCAGAAGCTGCTGGAAGCAGTCTGATGCTCCCCCCTTCCACAAGAGATGGGTACAGGTAATGCAGTTACCCTGTTTTAAATTAACTTCACAGCTCTGCCAGTTCTCACTTCTGCAACTTTTACCCACAGTCTGCAATGAACAGGGCCATACTGTCTTCTCCACTGCCACAAAGCTGACTACACAGCAGGAAAGAAAAGGATATGGCCTCCTGAAGATTGTTGGGCCAAGCTAAGGGCAGGCAGCAAGACTGACAGAGCTCTCCACATATGCAGGACAACAGCTCTCCAGGTAGAAAAGCACATTTTGTGCTTCAAAAGCAAAACTAAACAAAACAAAACCTCGTAAGAGTGAAACAAAGTCCTGCAGAAGCAGAGCCTATCCCTCTCTGCACTCAGGAGGAGTTTCACTCACTTGTTTTTCATGCTTTGTCTTCACCCTGTGCTCAATGCCCCACCAACCAGACTACTCTGGGCAAGCTCATCTCCTCTCGCCTCGTACAACACCTTGCTGTGCAAAGCCACAACTCTGTCAGGAGACAGAGGGGACAGGACTAACCAGCTCCTACAGGGACTTATTCCAGATGAAGGAGCAAGCACGGCTAGAAACAGCAGGAACTAAACTGCATGCTGATTTAAGGTCCAGGACTCCAGATCCTCAGAGTTAACCCAAAAGCACTTGAATCTGCTCAGCTGGAGCAAGGTCAGGGACAGTACAGAGCCATTCATGCTGTCAGTGGAGCCAGAAACTCATTTCTCATTTTGGGTAAAAGGCAGACAACCAGACATACAGAAAGGCTGATGCACACCACAGCAGGCACTACCACACCTCACCAACAGCCACCTTCTCAGTAAATTTAGCATCTCCCCTTGCCATAGGTTTCCTATGCTTTCTGAGGTTCCTGCACCAAAAGTGGCAAGAGGCAAAGCAGGCCTGGAACTGTCTCCAGAGGCAGAAAGCAGCTTGTTCCCAACAGTTTGCAACACTCAGATCGCAAACCTCAGTCTGGAGTTTAAGCAGGTGCGAGGAGCACCAGAATTACACAGGAGGGGTGTGCCACCTCCTGCACCCCACAGCCTGCAGCAGCAGGCCTTTTCCTGAGAAACTGCCGACCCAACCCTAATTTCCTGAGCTGTCCTGGGGGATGTGAGAGCAACAAAGAGGCCTCCAGATCAATACATTCCCCCACAGGCAGCTGCAGCTCTGCGCAGGGACCACCTGACCTGCTTTTGTTGTCATCAGTTTTTACAAAGAGACCCAAACCCACAGGATTAAAGAATGCACGGGGTGGAAAACTTGCCAATTTCCACACAAAACCTCTGTGTCACTCGTTACAGGCATAATGTAGATAGACAGAATAGAGATGCACAAATAAGGACATTCAAAACCAGATTTGTCAGGACCCCCAGCCCCATAACCCAGATCACACATCAGGCAACACATTTAATGTGTCAGGAATATTTTCTCTTTAATACCTCTGTGCCCATGCAGACAGTGTCAGAGCTCAGAGATGGTTTATTCCAGTGCAACAGTAAGCCAGGTCCACACAAGCCTACAAGTATGAGCAATGCTTGCAAGAACAGCAGACACCCCAGATGCTTATTTTTATTTCCACACACAAATTCCTAACCACCTCCCCGGCTCCGACGAGCAGGAAAAGCCAAGGCAAGCAGCATTCCTCCCACCTCTTCACGACCACGCAAGCCAAGAGAAACCTGAAGCCCGAGGCTGACCTAGCAGACACCCACCCAGTCCCAGTCCCCCCCTCCAGCTTCCCAACACACGTTGGCCTCCTCTATAAATACCCCATCGATAGGAGGTTGCCAAGGCAACGGTGAGGAGGCGAGGGATGCAGCCATGAGAGCGAGGATGCTGCAGTCACACATTTGTGTCTCCCTCGGGCTCCCCCATCTCCTCCCCGTTCCTGTCATGGGCGCTGGAGGAGGAAACCGTGCCAGTAAAATACGGTGCGCGTGGCGACGGCCCCTGCAGACCTCGAGCAGGTTTGGGGGGCACACCGGGAGGCAGCAGCTCCTCGCCAGGCTGGAGGGCACAGGTATGGGTCAGGGGGAATCCACAGACACCAGTGACGTGCCACGGCATGCAGGGAAGCTGCCGGCTCTCCTGGCGTCACGTAGCCACGGCTGTCAGCCACTCAGCGGGATCCCAGCAATATTTGGGGTTTTCCATGCCACGATCCACAACGAGGAGAAGAGGCTGCACCGGCTCCGCTTGCCAGGGACCGTAGGTTCCTCACAGGCTGCGGGGAAGCCTTGCCCTCCCAAAATAGCCTTCGGATCCCATCTGACCCCGCGTCAGCCCCTGGCCAGCCTCCGCCGTGGCCCCCGGACCCTCCATCCCAGCAGTGTCCAAACCCAGCTCCAAAATGCTTCCACCGCCCTCAGCTCCCGGTGTCATCCCGAAGCGGGGTCCTCCCCCCAGCTCACTGCCCCATCAGCCCAAATGCGAACTTGCCCAACTACGTGGGGCTTTCTAGT